AGAATAAAACTATCGTTCCAGAGATCGCGTCTTCGTCTTCTTTACAGTTTAATCCTTCTTTTTGACGATGGTCATCGTCTGCTTCTTAGTAACATAGGCTACTGAACAATATATCGCGCGCGAATTGATTTATGCCGCCAGTAGACGTACACTAATTCCTTCCCCGCCTACTTGAGCACGGTGTCAAGAGAGGGTCGAGAAGGCCAGAGGTGAGATTGCCTACAGTAATTGGCCACGTTCACCAGCACGTCTGCGTGTGCAATGCATGCCAGTACTTCACAAAAACAAGAAGGGGAGGACTCGGATCGCAAATGAATGTGAGTGCCGTAGAGACAACATTAAAAGTGAGTCATTGTATCTTGACTCTCTGTCCCCAGGGAAGGAAGAGTAATCCTGTCATTCTAAAAGCTTTAAAGGTATAGTTTGTAGCGCACCGTGATAGTTTCGAACATAAAAGTGTGTGGCAAAGGCGTTATACCGCTATATTATTTGTAGAACTACTCGTTTACTGAATAGACCTTGTGTGGTTATTTCACCGAATTTGATTGGCCTCGACTCAAAAGTTCATAGAAATATCAGGCCTGACCCTAAAGAGTCATGTTCCGGTCATCCATCTTCAAATTATGCACTTAATAAATATTAATGTCAGTAAACGGGAAGGCTGATCAAACATCAATTTGTTTACATTGAGGAAAATTACATGAGCAACGTGGGGCAGGAGTTCCTATTGCTCATCTCACTTTCTATTTACTCTCCAGTGACTCAGTCGTCCGATATGAAGCTTGGACACTAGCGGCTAACAGAACTATACAGCAGATCTGCGTGCACAACACGCGACCTTGCCACTTACATGAAACAGGTCTTTAGCCAAAGTGGGTTGATGGCTGGAATCTCACAAGCCTAAAAGTTTCCCAGGGGCCATATTAGTAAGGAGTCCTAGGAGACAGGCTTATAAATCAGCTGTCCTTTGAGGTAGGTGGTAGGCCCTCAGTTGGCAGCCCTCCAATTCGCAAGGTCTTGTGCGTCGTGGTAGTTTCAAGCGTGTTTTCGGTACTGTATGTCGCTCGATCATCAGGACATTTTGGAAGTGGAAAGGAGGGGTATGCATGCGAACGGAAGCACAAGCAACGAGTGTGGAAGCACACAGGCCCGGATTCACTCATATGGCTTAGTTCCCAGAACAAGGCGTTTACCATGGTGTGACCATTAGGCAGAAAGTAATCTTGGGGAGCTGCAGGTATGGGCTAAGTAATGTAACCTAACAGATCTGCCAAGTGCACGTCTATCTACACACCTCTAAACCCCAAAATAAAAAGTATAATTAATCTTATTTGGGCAAAGGTGAAGTGCAAAAACAGCCGTATAGGTCTATAAACGTTCTGCCTTCGTTGATTTGACCTGATTATTCCCCTTGTTTTCCTTCCTAAAGCTTCGAAATTGAGAACCTGTTGCCCTTTGAGGGTCTCACTATGAAGACCTTGATCAACTGCACTAAACTTATGCCAGATGAACGTGTTTCCTGTGTCGGCACCCTCTTGATTGTTCTTAAACGCATTTGGGAGTCTATTGGCCGGATTATAATTTTCAATGGAACTCCGTAAGTGACCAACGTATTTGGACGGTAATCGCATTCCCAAGAAACTATAATTGTCAAGGAACTAGTGCTCCTGAAGTAAATTATAAGTGCATTCAGTTTGCTTGCTATCCCGTTAAATTTCATCCAAATTTCTGAAGGGTGTTTTCGCCTTGAAGATAAGTACCTAGTAAGGTTGTATTACTAATTGACGGACAGTCCATTTCCAAAACGGTGCTGTTATGCCAGACTATCAGCTTTTGAATTAGCGACTTTTCAACCACCTGCAAAAACCACACTCTAAAAATAATGATAACTACAGTCATAATTTGTCCCACTTATCTTTCACATGCTCATATATATTTTGTGCAAACATGTAAAAAAAGCTTTTTTTTTCTTTTACTATTTGGGTAACAAATGAAATATTCTAAAAAGGGTTATCGAAGTAGGCGCGCCTTTTGATTTTAAAGTTTCGTAATATGATATTTTTAAATCCATGGTATGTCCATTTGTAAAACGCGCTAACAGCCCATTTATTAATGCTACGTGTAATTTGTGCATATAGTCAATATCCAATGCAACACTTCATAAGCGGTAGGTGAGACCTTGCTCATGATGCAAATTAATTTGTGATTTTCCTTAAACGAGTTGTATACAGCGTTTAATTTTGAACCCGTAGTTCAAGTTTAACGGAAGATCAGTTTCAAAATTACTCGT